GTAAAAATATCTCTTTGAGAAAAACGTATGTTCTTCATTTCTTTCAGCTGTCCTGGTCTTTTTGTCCCTGAAGTTAATCGTTAGTATATCACGGATATACTAATGTCTATAATGGGCAACTAGAGACATTCTCTCTTTCATAGCGACTCCCATGTAACTTCTTTACAACTTTTAGATCATACTCCATGATCTGTGGGCAAGGCATGTGTTAATGATTAGTAAGTTAGCTCATTACTACAGAGACTTCGATTCTTATTTAGCACTCAATTCTTGTGGCCTTGTTCCAAGCTAAATGTAAGGGAGTGAAGCAGTCCAAGATTCGAATTGGAGAGGTCAGAATCATTCAAGTAGAGAAATTTATTTCAAAAGTATTTAAACAGAGGACGGTAATTGTGATATCGGAATTAGAAGATGCCTTCGAAAAACTAAAACGAGTATTAAGTAACATGAAAAATCAGCTAGAAACTAAGAAAACGTTTGATGAAGACCAATTTAGTTACGTTCCGCCATCGCCGATCTAATCAGAACTACAACCAATCCGGATAAACGGAGTTTCCTTCCGGGAAAGCACCGTGTCTTAAAAGATTTTGGGGCTTCAAACTCAAACTCAATTGGAACTAGTACATATGATTCGTTTGCTAAGGGTGCAGGTAAAACAGTCAAAGCCCTTTACCGCCCCTGTAAGTATCTGACTACCTGTTATCCTCTAAATTTATAATAGCCAAATCTGACCAAAGATGGAGTAAAGTTTTCATATTTGGGCGACAGTTGCTCCGACCTCACTCACAAGCCTTGATAGGGTTTCAAAAGCGTCTCCGACCCCATGTGGGTGACGAATTATTCCCCACCCTTGAACCCGTCTCCCACGGGCATGATGTGTTATGCCTCTCGCTGCTCTACCGCTTTTTTTTTTCAATGAAATGTGCTCGGACATTCCCCGGTGCCACCGAGGCAATCCTTCACAGGAAGAACACGCCGTGACACTTACACATTAGCAAATCATCCACATTTCTCCCGTATTCCATTGGTGAGAAGTAAGTTCCACTCGGGCAGCTTCTTCCCGCGTACCACTACCCTGTGGAATCGACTCCCAACAGGAAGTTTTCCACAATCACTAAAATATTAAACTATTCAAAGCTAGGGGTAATCGTTACTTCTAAATAACCTCCTAACGTAACGCTTTCTCTGGAGTTGTTCAAGGGAATTGTAAAGGATGACCTTCACTATAAAAAAAAAAAAGAAAATTGTAATGTAATACCAATCCTACTATATGACAGTGGATACTAGAAAATTTCCTTAAATTTTAAGAGGAGAAGATATTGTGCTAAAGAAGGATGCTGAGAATAAGTGAGAAACGTGTAAAGGAAACCAAAAGGAGTCGAGAAAAAATCAATGGCGGAATTTTACTTCTTTCTGAGCATATATTTTGCGTGTTCAAATTGCTTGTACATATTATTAGAAAAGGGGGCTCAGTGACCTTCAATATATCCTGTGACCTTCACAGGATATATTGGGGCCAAGAAGAGCATACAGAAAAACAGAGTAACCCACTTAATGAGCAAGGACTGGAAGAGACAGTAATGAAACTAACATTGCTTAGAGCTGCGAAAAATAGGAAGCTGTGGAGCGCAATGATCACCTACGTCCTGAATGGGAACGGCATATAAAAGAAGTAAGGCGCATTAATAGTTAGCGGTCTAGTCGGTTTAGCAAATAGAAGAGTTTAATACTCTGTCGGTTTTTAAAGTGTGAAGGACTGTAATCGCCTTTGCGGTTGGAGAAAACAGGACATTTTTTTAAAAATATTTTTGAATGTGAGTAAGAATGAGTTTTTTGTTTTTCACTTCATCATTGACTGTCTTTCGATTTTCACAGTCAATTAGCATTCCCCGAATCTGCGAAAAGGTTTTTTAAAGAGAAATTACAAAGAATATATATATATATATATATATATATATATAAACTCGTGTCTTTTGAGCAAACGTCACAGACAACGAGGCATCAGCGGCCTAGGCATTGTCTGTTATCAACGTCCATTTGTGAAAGGGTGGCGGGATTGGATTGTACATGACAATATTAAGGCTTCTAAAAAGGGGTGTATGCTTTTACGCCAAACTGGTTATATTACTGCGTTTGTGTCTCCTACACCCACATGTCTCGTGCTGACTCCGAACAGAAAAGGACTTTCGTTATCGACAAACACCTATTGTTACAGGTATTTTTTTGTAGCTTGATGCAAAAAAAAAAAGAAAGAAGTAAATAAAAATAAAAATGAAAATAGAAATGCTTTTTTTTTTTTTTTTTTACAAAGATTGGTTTTGTCAGTTCCTTCAGCGGAAGAGACATCAACAGATGAATATGGATGTTGGCAGAAGGGACAGTATCTTCACTTGCAGATGCATAAGCGTCAAGCTGATGGCGAAATATATTGGTGCATGTGAGAATTAATGGTATATATATATATATATATATATATATATATATATATATATATATATATATATATATGTGTGTGTGTGTGTGTGTGTGTGTGTGTGTGTGCATATACATACATACACATATATCTATCTATCTATCTATAGATCTATATATATATATATATATATATATATATATATATATATATATGTAGCATTAATTCCTGATATACACACACACACACACACACATATATATATATATATATATATGTACATATATATGTACATTAATTCTTACATACACCCACACACACAGATATATATATATATATATATATATATATATATATATATATATATATATATATATATATATATATATATATATATATATATATATATATATATATATATCTATATCTATATTCATATATATATATATATATATATATATATATATATATATATATATATATATATATATATATTTATTTTGGTCGAATAAGTCACCTAGTATCTATTTTGAGATAACTCCATTTATATATATATATAATTTATATATATATATATATATATATATATATATATATATATATATATATATATTATATATATATACATATATATGTGTACGTCGATCCTAATATGAAATTTGTAGATAAAACATTTGTAAAGGACAAAATATACACACACAAACACGTGTATTTATTTTCTTTTCTCTTTTCTTTTCTTTCTTTCCTTTTTTCTTTTCTCTTCTTTTCTTTCTTTATTTCTTTCTTTCTGTGTCCATAGTTTTTTTTTCTTTCCTTATCTATATTCTTGCTGCTTTTTCTTTTAGCTTTTCTTCTTTCTCGTTCTTTGTATATCGTCGTTCCTTCGCTCATCAGAGCATTCTTTCTCTATGTCTTTTATATTCTTTCTTTAACATTGTTCCTTTTTTCTTCCGCCACCCAAATTCTTTTTTTTTTCTTCTTAAACTTTATACTTTTTTTTTATCTTTCTTTATAGTTTTCTTTGTCTTTTTTCCTTCTTTTCACACAATATTTTTCCGTCTTTCTTCCCTTATATTCTTACTGCCCAGTCTTACTTTCTTTTTAGTCGTTTTCTTTCTTTCTTTCTTTCATTCTTTTTTCTTTCTTTCTTTCATTAAATCTATTCTTTCTTTCTTGCTTTCTTTCTTTAAATCTATTTATCTTTCGTCATGTTTTCTTTGAAGGTATTCCTTTTTTTAAAACAGTGTTCTTTCTGCTTTCTTCCCTTATATTGTTACTGTTCGGGCTCACCTTCCCTTTAGTCATTTTCTTTGCTTCTCTATGTATTTAGTCATCATTGTTCTTGATAATCGTATTTTTTTTCTTTTTTCATTCTTTATAGCTGTTCTTTCTTTCTTTATTCCTTCTTCCACATATTCTTTCTTTCTTTCTTTCTTTCTTTCTTTCTTTCTTTCTTTCTTCCTTCCTTCCAGCAACGTATTCTTCCTTTCCTTCGCTCAACAAAATAGGTATAAGTATGCGCATTTATATTTATCGATCATAATGTGAAATGTAGTGCGCAAAATACTTAATAAAAATATATATATATATATATATATATATATATATATATATATATATATATTGCAGATACACGCATACACAAATTCACACACACACACATACACACACACACATATATATATATATGTATATATATATATATAGTAATGGGTTTTATATATTTATGCGCATATATGTATAAAACATTTGTAAATCGTAAAAGTATGCAGTCCTATCTTTTTGCTTTCGTTTTTTTTTTTTTTGGTCTCTTTTTACATTTATTGATATAGTAATAATAATAATAATAATAATAATGATAAGAAGAAGAAGAAAAAGAAAGAAGAAGAAGAAGAAGAAGAAGAAGAAGAAGAAGAAGAAGAAGAAGAAGAAGAAGAAGAAGAAAGAGGAGCAGAAGAAAGAGGAGGAGGAGAAGAAGAAGAAGAAGAAGAAGAAGAAGAAGAAGAAGAAGAAGAAGAAGAAGAAGAAGAAAGAGGAGGAGGAGAAGAAGAAGAGCAACAACAACAATAACATCAGTAACTCAGAAGTACGGAGAGTTTTACTTTTTTTGTGTTATTAGAACGTTTGCCACAAATATTTTCTTACCTTATAGGATACAAACACACACAAACACACACACACAGACATATATATATATATATATATATGTATGTATATAATTATTTACAAAACGAAAACTACTTTTGGCACAAGGAATCAATTGTGGGTCACCCAGTGAAAATCGAAGTAACTACGGACCTTTTACTGGCCGTTCTTTTTATAGTCATAAGGACACCAATCAATATATATATATATATATATATATATATATATATATATATATATATATATACGGAGCGTTAAAGGGGTTAATTAGAGTAGTGACATATATATCGGTTTCTGCAAAAGTGAATTTCTTTTTTACCCGATCAGTATTTCTTCTGATCAACACAAAACAAATATTGTTTATAAAACCCATTGTGGGTCACGCTAGGTAGTCTCGTTGACTGCATGTGACACGGACGCTGCATTTAGTGCAAGCCTGCTAGAAACATTGGCTAGAAACAAGCTGCGTGGAAACTAGTAATATATGATTAGATGTCGATTATGTTTGCAGAAACTAAAGAGAGTCCGATAACGCAAAGTACTATTCCCCTTTAAGAAAGAATACAATGCTCTGGTGAAGATTAAGTTCGTCTGGAACTAGGGATCCTGTGAGAGTTGAAGCCATGATGTAAAAAAGTTTATGAAAGAAAGAGCTGAATCGGCTAGTCGCAACGCAACTGTGTTTCGATCGTCGCTTTCATTCTCGACATCGTATCGTATTTCACAAGGAACGAAATGGAGAGAGCACAAAGCGCTGACTTAGCTCAAGTGGAAAAAAATCTTTTGGCTAAAGTGAAGAGCAGTGGTCGTGCCATATCTTTTTTCTTATTGTAAAAGTCTGTGAACTTTGTTTGCTTGTGTGTTTGCCAGAAGTTATATATAGAGAGTGGGTGAAAGAAAGATGCAAATTTATTACCGTGTAGGGCGGTGGGAGAGAAGGAAATGGAGAGAAAAAAAACGCTCTCCCTTTTCACCTTTCTCTCTCTCTCTATCTTTCTCCATCTATCTCTCTTTCCATCGCTCTCTTTTTACGCCTTCTCGTGATTGCGTGCATGCTTATTTATATTTCAACTTTTTTTAAACAAAGAATATTTTAAATATTTTTATGTCAACTTTCTTCGAACAGACAATTTTTAATGTTCAAGCAACCTCATGTTTTATAATCTTTCTTTCAATCAGTCAAGAATATATATGATTTAAAATATTTTATGTTTATACAGTAAGTATTTTTATTTCGAAAACAGACAATTTTTAATGTTGAAAGCAACTTCAGTGTTATAATCTAAATCTTCAGTGACTAAACAGGTTATGTGTATATTTAAAATATGATTTAAAATAATGATTTGTTTATTCAAAATAATGTTTTTTTTTCATTTTTTAACTATCTTCTCCAAACAGACATATAAAATTACGATTTGTTTATACAATAAGTATTTTAATGTTGAAACAGACAATATTTTAATGTTGATTTTAATAAATCTGGAACTTCAGAGATGCAAAGGGTAATATATATGATTTAAAAATACCATTTGTTCATACAGTACGTATTTTTATTTCAACTTTCTTCAAACTAACATTTTTTTTTATATTGAAAGCAACTTCAATATTTTATAATCTAAATCTTCAGTGACACACAAGGTCACGGGTAATATATATGTTTTAACATTACGATTTGTTTATACAATAAGTATTTTTATTTCAACTTTCTTCAAATAGATATTTTTTCCAATGTTGAAAGCAACTTCAGTGTTTCGTAATCTCAACGGGTCACGGGTAGTATAATTTAAAAGATCAAAAAATATTGTAAATAAAAGTGTTTTGTAGATAAATATAAAGTTTAATAAAATGTATTATATGTTTTCTAAACTAGCTGCAAATAAATGTAGTTTTAAAATATCTCTACTTTTACAAAACAATGAAGCTAAATGTAAACAGTAAACACACCAAAGTTGACCCAACGGGTGACGGGTGGTCTAGTAATGCAAGGAAATATAAGTGTACATAGTTTTAGAAGAATAAATTTGAGAAGGATAAAAGGAAGTTGTGTATGACTGAATCGAGTTTATTCCAAATGCAGAAGAGGAATACTTACTCAAAGCATCAATTACCTATTGTCAAATATTTTATTTCTTTCCATTTGATATGCCCTAAATTCTTTTAATTTGTTGCACTTAATAACTTTGGATTCGTTTGCGATTAACTTTTATGTTTGTTTCTTTTTTTTTTTCTACTATTCATTTGAACAAGCGAAAGAGAACACTGGCATAAAAAACAAAAACAAAAAAAAAACAAAAAAAAATCAAAACATAAATTCGTCGTAGTCTTTTTAAATTGTTGTAGTAACATGTAGATTGATGGTTGATATGGAAAACGAAAATGGTCGTCTACGTTTGCCGAGCCATGATACTGAAAAAAAAAAACATTCTAGTAAAAAGATCAATCTCAGTCTGCTATCTATCTATCTATCCTACTCTATTTATATCTCAGCCTATTCATATCTATCTATCTATCTATCTATCTATCTATCTATCTATCTATCTCAGTCAACTCATATCTATCTATATGTCTACTCATATCTATCTCAGTCTACACCTTCCTATCTATCTATCTATCTATCTATCTATCTATCTATCTATCTATCTTCATATTTATCTATTCATCTGTTGTCTGTTCATATCTATCTATCTATCTATCTATTCATCTATCTATCTTCATATTTATCTATTCATCTGTTGTCTGTTCATTCATTCATCCATCTATCTATCTATCTATCTATCTATTCATCTATCTATCTATCTATCTATCTATCTATCTATTCATCTATCTATCTATCTATCCCACTCAAATCTATCTATTCATCTGTTGTCTCTACTCATCTATCTATCTTCTATCTATCTATCCTATCTATCTATCTATCTATCTATCTCATCTATCTATCTTAGTCTATCTATCTATCTATCTATCTATCTATCTATCTCTCTCTCTCTCTCTCTCTCTCTCTATATATATATATATATATATATATATATATATATATATATATATACTACTCATATCCATCGTAGTCTGAAGAAAATTGAAGGCCCGTGAGGTCAGATCCCTCGAATGTTGTGCCTAATAGTTAGTGAAAATAATACACAGTGAATATTTTGCATCAATGACGGATAATAAGTTTGAATTTGCTATTCAAAAATTGTGCGATGACCAAATTGGCAAGAATAAAGAGGATCAGAATCAGGTTTCAAGCAGAGTACAAACTATAACGTCTATCTCCGTTCTAATATCTGTATGTGAACCGTGGACACTGTTGACAGAAACTGAGAGAAGACCATCATGCAAAGCACCGTCCAAGATGGACGTTTTAGAGAGGCCGTCAACACAACAACTGGTTTGACAATGTCAAACAATGGACAATCACATCTGTACCAGAATTGCTGATGGCTGCCGTTGATGAAGTTTTCTAGAGAAGATTCAATATGGCGTCTGCGTTCGAATCTCCATCTACGATTAGAAATGTCAAGTGGATGATAATGATAATGATGGTGATTTAAATTTATTTCTGTGTGCCAAATTACATAAAGAACCATCTTTACTTTTACAAATGATACAGTCGGACTGGATGTGCGGTGTGGAGTAAATAAATAACGGCACGGATTTTTAAATCGGTATTCCCGAGTTCAAATTCCACTTGGGTTTGTCAAATTCACATTTTCATTGGGAAAAATGAATAAATGCATCTCTTCAACTATTGTTTGACTTACCGGACGGACTGCGCCCTAAAGCCTTGCTTTGCATTGTTCTAAAGCGTAAAGAAACGGCAACCTACTGCGAGAAATAATCTTCTGCCTCGTCTTCCAGATTCGAAAGAGAAATGGTCGACCAATCGTGTATAACATAATAAACTTGACTAACTAACAGACGGACAAATGTCCTTAAAGTCTCTAAATTATCACCTAAAGATTGTCCTTCATGACAACGAAATAGATATTTAAAGCCCAGGTTCGTAAGTTTGTCGGAAAAAATAACAGTGAGTTCAATCCTTGCGCCACGTAGTACAGATTCACGCTTACTGTTAAGAATTGACAAGGTAAATGTGGCTCTTGAAAAGGACCTCCAATCAGAGGTTAGCTGGGACAGGGAATGACTTGTAAAATTTATCTCCTACAGTCGGACTGGATGTACGGTGTGGAGTAAACCGATAACGGCTCGGATTTTGAAATCGGAATTCCGAGTTCGAATTCCACTCGGGTTTGTCAAAATCACATTTTTCTTGGGAAAAATGTATGAATCCATCTCTTCAGCTATGGGTTGACTTACCGGACAGACTGCGTCCTAAAGCCTTGCTTTGCATTAGTCTAAAGCGTAAAGAAATGTCAACCTACTGCGGGAAAAAATCTTCTGCCTCGTCTCCCAGATTCGAAAGAGAAGTGGACGACCAAGCGTGTATAACGTATAACACTTGGCTAACTAACTAACAGACGGATTAATATCCTTAAAGACTACAAATTATCCCCTAAAGATTGTCCCGGAGGACAACGGCATAAATATTTAAAGCCCTGGTTCGTAGGTTTGGTAGAAAAAAATAACAGTTAGTTCAATCCTCCGCCACGTCGTACAGATTCACTCTTACTATTAATATTTGACACTTGAAAAGGACCTCCCATCACTGTTTATTTGGAACAGGGAATGGCTAGTAATCTTTATCATCTCCAAAACAAAACTACTCTCGTTTAAGCAGCATTGGAAACCTTTCTGTCAGCCATCAGCATTGGTGAGGCTAGAGGCCAGGAGAGAAACACACAGCGCATTTTTGGCCTGAGATTTTCAAATGACTTAAAGTGAAACGACAATATCGATTCAATAGCTACATGTTTCTGTGTCGTGCCGGAAAATATTTCTCGTCATTGTCCATCTTGCACATTTACAAATCTAGCATTCGTCCGTGCATTGAATACTGCAACCATATCCGGTCTGGTGCACCTGATATTCATCTTCAGATTCTTGACAAAATCCAAAGATGGATCTGTAATGTGACTTGACATCTCGACTTCAGTTAGTTTCTTACCGACGTGGCGTGACTTCCATCTGCCTTTTCAGTAAATATTTTCATGGCTAACGAGCTTTTTTTTCCCCTGGTACCTGAACTACATGAATTTAAGCGTGCTACTATCGTAGCATCTAAGTCCAACCCGTTTACTGTTGAAATAATTAAATGCAATCGGCACTTCTACTACAACAATTTTTTTTTGTTTTTTTTTTTTCCCGCAATTGCCGCCCGTGGAAACGGCGGAAAATGCCAGACAAGTTCCCCGGATAACTACAATCGTTAAAATTTTAAACGCAATGTCAATCGACATCTTTTATCATCTCGAGTCTAGTTCGTCTTTTCTCCTTTCCTTAATCGTTCCAATACTCAGTCTTTTCTCTCACTTTATTGTGTAACAATGAAAGAAGAGGAATTAAGGAAGCAGAAGATAACGATTGACATTGCATTCGAATTTTCGAGGATGAAAATTGACAGGAAAGCAGACGATCGGAAAAGAGTTCCACAAGTGGAAAGTGCGAGAAAAGAAACAGCTTTGAATCTTACGGTTATATGTAGCCATTTTTAACTTTAAAATGATGAGACTTTACCGCCAAACTAGTACTGCGGTTAAATCCATAGAGTCTAGCAACCACAGAATTGAGTTCACCGAGACAATTACCATGAAAGTGTTTATAGAAGAGTTACAAGTAAGTTACATTACTGAATTGGGGAAGAGACTGAAGTCGAGATGACAGGATAGGACCAATGATATTGCTGATTCTTCTTCATCAAGAATCTCATAGCATGAGCACCATCTCATGTGTAGCAACAATATTCGTAGCATGGACGTATGGTAGACTTATAAATACGTAAGATAGATTTGACAGGCACGAAGAGTCAAGATTCCTTGCGGCAGGCCTAGCAGTTGATTCGATATAATCTTTCCCCTTGTCGTTAGACCGACAAGGCGAAACGAACTCTTCTTTTAGAGGTTATAGAGTACCGTAGTTGTGGAAGCGAATACCGAAACACAAGCATGAAACTTCAGATAACCATCAGTAATTTAATTTTTAATTCAGATACGAAACGAACAATAATTGACTATCAGACTGTCTGTAAATTAAATCCTAAACAAAAACAAACAAACGAGATATCCATAGGCATGCACAATGCAACAGAATCACTCTTCCCTGTTGTTTAAATAAAGTGTTAGTTCGAAGTTTCTTAACGTTTAACTGGAACGACAGACATCTGAAGGTTGGCGACAATGTTCGAAAGATATGGGCATTAATCTGACCCTGTGTAAGTTAAATAAAGGCAAGTTCTCATTCCCAGAAAGCCCAACAAAAACAAAAGATTTCTCTCAAACATTTCCTCAAATTATATCCCTATACATGCACAATAGAACGACAAACAATCTACCCCGTTGATTATATAAAGTATTATTTTGTGTTCCTTAATGTTTACCGTGATCGACAGACTGAGAATGACAATGTCTTAAAGATTTTGGTATTACTCCGACTGTGTGTGAATTAAATAATGGCAAGTCCTCATCCCCAGAAATACCGACAAAAACAAGAGATTTCTCGCAAAGATTTTGTCAAATTATATCCCTAGACATGCACAATGGAACAGAAAACAATCTAGCCCGTTGATTAAATAAAGTGTTATTTGGAAGTTCCTTAATGTTTACCGGGATCGACAGACTGAGCGTGTCAATGTTTTAAAGATTTTGACATTATACCAATACTGTTTAAAATAATGGCAAGTCCACATTCCCAGAAATTCCGACGAAAAACAAGAGGTTTCTCGCAAAGATTTCATCAAATTATATACCTAGACATGCACAATTGAACGGAAAACAATCTACCCCGTTGATTATATAAAGTGTTATTTCGATGTTCTTTAATGCTTACCGGGATCAACAGACTGACGGTGACAATGTTCTAAAGATGTTGGCATTGCACCGATTCTGTTTAAAATAATGACAAGTCCTCATTCTCAGAAATACAGATAAAAAGAAAAATGATCCCTCTCAAAGATTTTGTGAAATGATTTTGAGAATCATAGTCCTGAAAGTAGATTCCGGAACATTGGCAGCAAGTTCCTGCTACCTATCAATAATCATTAGACCTTCGTTTCAAAATGGAAGGAACGCGACCTGACTTACAAGATGTCCCTAAATGATTTCCATGATATCTTAAATCGCTGATGTATCCTTCTGTTGGGAAAAAAAAAATAACAGATTTTTTTTTTTTTTACAATCCAGGAAGAAATTCAGAAATACCCACAGAACGTTATCACAGAAGAAAGCAATAATGCAATTTGTCGGACACTGCATCAAGAAAGATTACATTATCGGATAACTCGAAAAGACTCTGTTGAAGTCAAAGAAGTGTAGGGTTCGCTTACAGTTTGGCCACTATCATCTTGATAAGAATTAGCAAGCTGATAGTGTAGGCTTCGGCCTGGAACAAACTTTAGGCTCCGGTCTCGAACAAAACATAAAGGGAGAAAGGCGAGAATCTAATTATTTCCTGTAAAGAGTTCAAGACACACCCGCGAAAAGAATGGCAGCTTATTTAACCAACACATAAACAACGAAGATAGCATCCCTTTGAGAAGGCGCTATTGCCAGTTTGGGAAAATATTAGGCTCTTCGGTAATTAATGTCGTATTTTAGAATTATTTTTTTTTTATTCTGGAACATACCTAGAGAGAAATATTTGAATATATACATGAAATAAATTATAATCGAATGATTGTTTAAGGATCTCCTGTCAGGTGCTCCTGTTATATATTTAGAGATTCATGATAAAACACAAAGAAGAGTCGGCAATATTATGAGTCCAGGCCTAGCATCTCGGCTTAACCCACTTCAGTAATTGTCCCACTGTTAGATTAGATTGTCAACAA